TAAAGGATCCAAAAAATGGAAGCCACTAATAATCCAAGTTACCCCAATGTAGTACTGGGTTCATGGTTCCATTTTTTGGATCCTTTAGGGGGTCTGGGTATGGGACAGTTTAAGGCCTTTCTGGGCATTGCCACGGACATTTAAGGCTTTTAGGCATTCTAGTCCTGGTAGATTCAGTATTTTGCCAAGGTCCACATACCCAAATTACATATACATGGGCCCCAAATTATGTATATGGAAATCCACTTGGGCCAAAAACATATACTTGGGCCCGCAGGGTCCTGACAGGGTCTAGGGATGTGGATATTTCTCGAGAACGGGTACCGGTGGATCTGCAGAAATCTGGCAGTCACGGATGTTATATGAAAAGCTGCCTTAGCTTCTAGTTGAGACTGCGTATGGTTTAGGGCTCTGTTTTGGATGTAGAGGCTTAGTTTCCGGGACATATAGCTTTCACTTCTCCATAAGCTTTGAACCATAAATCCTGCTCCATGACATGGCTAAACCCTAAACACTTGTACCCAGGAGCTTAGCATTTAGGCAACGCTTCGGCCAGGCTAAACCCAAAATACTAAACCCTAAAGGGTTTAGGGTCTACGGGCTGTAGCGGAACCTGTGGAGTTGGACCGCCTTCGTCTAAGTCAACTTACGTCTCTCAAGGTAAGTTCCCAAAGGTCCATGTATTTGTATGTTGGGTCAATCCCCGCCCAGTAATGTTATGATAATAGGGCATTGGGGTTTAGGCTTTAGGCGTTAAGGTTTCATGCTTTGGTGCTTATCTATATCTGTCTGAGGAAAGTTGCAAGGAGATAACACCTCCTTAATACGCCCGCATGTAGCTATAGCGAAACATCCCCCACCGCCCTGTTCTCAATCATAAAGGCCCCAGATAATATTGACTATTATTGAAACATAGCTTGATTCAATTCTGAGGCTCCTCATGTGTGGGCATCCTGATTCACCCATGATGCTCTTGGGCAAGTGGGCTCCTCATACCTATACCGTGAACCCCTAACATGTTGGTCCTTAGGCATAAGAAGCAGCAGCGCTGTATGCAAGCTCCAAATCTGAAGCTCAACTCTTTCAAGGGTTCAGGGTTCGGGGTTTCTTATGGGTTCCCCTAAACTCTAGGGTATAGGGCTTAGGGTTTCTTATGGGTTCCCGTAGTACCCCCCCCGCTACCCTCTGCGTAGGGTTTGGGCTTTCGGGTTTAGGGTTGCACCTTACTTGACTTTAAGTACTGCCTTTGAGAAATTCCTTTCTTCAGAACAACTTGGCGGTTTCCCAAAATTAGGGGTACCTTATTGAGGGTCCCCATAATAAGGATTATAGTATTTTGGGGTCTATATTGGGGTCCCCTTATTTTGGGAAACTACCACTTGGGTGTCGACAAGGCAACCGATTGGTATGCCAAGTACGTTCCTCGCGGCATGTTGGCTCCGAGACGCTCGGCGCTGCGCTTGAAACTCAGCCTTTTGTTATTACCTGGGGTTTAGGGTTTAGGGTTTAGGGCCAAAGTACTTATATGGTACAAAGT